TAGACCCTGTGGAGTAGGAGGCACTCAAAATCACAAAATAAAAGGTGAACTTATATAATGAGCATATGAATAATAATCCAGTGTACCAAAATATGCAATGGAACATAAATTTGCCTCTCATTGTACGTTACCTATCACCTTCGCTTCCAAAAAACAGCCACAAGTTGCCTGTTCTTATGTGTTCACAGGCAAATATCTTTGAATATATGACTATGCATGGATCTGCAATTTCAGTAGACATTGGCATATTGTTCTTCGATGTGATTTGCCTCATTTTTTTACTTGAGCTAGCTGAATGAGACGATCTGTTTTTCTTTGTGCTTGCATACACTGTTCATTCTTTGTCATCATAGTGTAAGTTGCAATCCTTTTTAAAGCTATAGATCCCCACTTGGTCCTAAAATTTTAGTACTGTTTCTTTATGTCCTTTTCCTGTTATGTTATGTTCCTGTTATGTCCTTTTCCTGTTATGTTCCTAAATGTTATATTATTATTATTATTATTATTATTATTATTATTATTATTATTATTATTATTGCTGTTTATATGTTATTTTGTTTATGTATGTGTGTTGGTGTGTGTGCATGTGGAGTTGGTTCCCTCCTTCTACCTTTATTTGGGTTTTGGGAATCAAAATGGGTCTGGCTTACATAGCAAGTTTCTTTACTTATTGAACCCTCTTACTGGCCCTGACTATTTTTCTGTTGTATTGATTTCTCACAAATTGATTTGTGAGAGCACTTTATATGTTTATAAAATACTGCTGTTTGAAATGTCCTAATTCTCCTCACATGTTAATAGCTTCTATTTTCATTTTGTTTATAGTATTTCTTTTTTGTTGTTTGTTTTCAGAATGCATTAATTTGTAGTAAAATTTATAATTTCTTTTATGGTCATGAGTTCTAAGCTTTGCTTAGAAACATATGCAGTACTTAAGGAAACCTAATATTGAGATTTCTATATAGAAGATCTTGGGTATTGTTTTAGAAATCTTTAACAAGCTCCTCACCCAGCAAGTCTGACCATCAACCAGGTTTAGGAACAAGAATGAAATAAAATCAACACTGTAAGTTACCTGGTATGTAGTAGGTACACAGGAAACATTTGTTGGCTAGTTTCTTCTCTTAATTTATTGTGAGACAATTTTTCAGTTTGTCTTGGTAGAAAAAGTACATTTCTATGTAATTTTTGAAAGTTGATCATACCAGTTATTTTTTCTTTTTCTCTTTCTTTCTTTCTTTCTTTCTTTCTTTCTTTCTTTCTTTCTTTCTTTCTTTCTTTCTTTCTTTCTTTCTTTCTTCTTCTTCTTCTTTTTTTTTTTTCCGAGACAGAGTTTCTTTGTGTAACAAGCCGAACTGTCATGAAACTTGCTTTTTGTAGACCAGGTTGGCCTTTAACTCAAGGAAATCCACCTGCTTCTGCCTCCCCAGTGCTGGGATTAAAGAGGCATGTACCACCATTGCCAGGCTGGTCATACCAGTTTTTAAAATTTTCAATTTACTTGCCTCACTAGATGAGCTCTTCTCAGTATCAGCTAGTGAGTAGCTGAGATTTGGAGAACACTGTTGTTGCTTGGATTCTAATGGCTCGGCAGGGGGGGGGGGGGGGGGGGGGGGGGGGCTCCCTCAGGGAGGGGGTGAGAAGGCACTGCATCATCGACTCAGCACCAGGAGTCCATTGAAAGCAAATAATGAATTCATTTATTCAATAACAGGAAGGCCTTAAATACCCTCCTCCCAGAGCCCAGTCTGTGTGGTCATCCCTCATTGGCTGGGTGTGATCAGGAACTCAGACAGCTCCTGTTGCTAGGCCCTCAGGCAAACTCCAGGTTGGCTCTGAAGGAGTATGTTATGCACATGCCTTGGCGACTTTTCTGAGCCAATTTCCTCGATGCTATGAGCCTGTCCTACTACACATTGTAAGGCCTATTGTTTTTTTTAATTAGGAAGATTATGGACTTATCCTATTGAGACACGGGGGTGGGGGGGGTGGGGGTGCGATTGGTTTGTTAGTTTGGCAGTAAGAGTTGAGTTGTATTAAGCCAGGCAGGCCCACACTCTCCCTGTTTCTGTCATGTGACTAAGGGTGTTCAAATGCGCAGTAAGGCCATATCGATAGGAAGGACATAGATCGTAATTTCAAGATGGTCTTTGGTTTTGAAATAGACTGGCCCTAATTAGCCTAAACAGATGTGATGGTGGCCTGGTTTTTAGGTGCTTCTCAATGAGAAGAGCTTGTTAGTAGGTCTTGGGAAATTGAACTTATTGTCCCTTTCCTCTCCTGGGCTTGGTGAGCTGAAAGATTTTCTTGAAAAAAAAAAATGCTTTCCCAAATGTTAATCTGTAATATGAAATTAGCTGATAATCTTATTAGTTATTCACAAATCCTGATTCATTAGGCCTAGACTTAGAGTCAGACAGTCTGTATTTCTAACAAGCTCACAGGTCATGTCCTAGCACTGCTGATATGTGGATGAGAGTTGTCTTTAACAACTAAAGGACTAAAGCATAAAGTATCACCAAGCTGAATCTGTTCTCATTTTTGAGCATATTTCTTTTCTGTATTGTTTGGTCCCATAACCTTGACTTCTTTTAGATCACATAGTTTAACCAGTAATCAGACTACAAGAATTGGCTAAACAAGCAGCTGTCTTTGGTGGGGATCAACAACCTTCCTCTCATTCAGAGAAAATCCACTGATATGCCATGGTATTTTAAATTCCCAATTGTGAAAAACCTTCTTAAAGTCTCTGGTGAAGGGTGATGTTACCTAAAACAGGAAGGTTAGCCAGATTTAGACATCCATGAGACTTAAATACCAGCCATGGTCAACAGAGAAAGCACTGAATGACTGGCATGACTGCAATGTAAAAGATTTATTTATTTATTTATTTATTTATTTATTTATTTATTTATTTATTTATTTTTGGTTTTTTCGAGACAGGGTTTCTCTGTGTAGCTTTGCGCCTTTCCTGGAGCTCACTTGGTAGCCCAGGCTGGCCTCGAACTCACAGAGATCCGCCTGCCTCCGCCTCCCGAGTGCTGGGATTAAAGGCGTGCGCCACCAACGCCCGGCTGATTTATTTATTTTTGAGACAAGAGTTTCATTATGTAGCCCAGGTTGACCTTAAACTCATGGCAATCTTCTTATTGCCCGAGGCCCCCCAGTGTTGGGATTGCAGGCATGGTGCTTAACATGCTCAGATCTATGTTTTGTGTTAAAAGTATAGACTTCCTAGTTGATGATTTGCTGAGGGGTAACACTGGCCAGTTTCTTGAATGTGTTCCATCAACCCTGCCTACTAGCTTCTAATGTAAGCGAAGGGTCTTATAGCTTAGCCATATGTCTTCACCCAGGACATCTCAGCTGATCATCTAAGCCCAGAGCTTGAGGACTGGCATTATATTGAAGGTCAGTGTGTGTATGTACACCTGCGACCTAACCAAGGTATAAGAGTCCAGGAAAAAGGGTTCTTCTACTGTGGATCACACCCTGTATGAATTGCTGATGGTCTGCCAGCTGGATAGAAACAAGTGTCCTGAGTGCCAGTAATGGTGATGTAGGCCCAGCAGGGGTTGGCTGGAAATGTAGATGAAGGTTGCTGCTGGGCAAGTATGCAGAGAAGTTTTCAGGAGCAGTGTAACAAAGGACAAAGGAGAACCAACTGGCCATCCCTGTCTAGGGAATGTGTTTTCTGTGAAAACAAAAAATCATTAACAAACAGAAACAGAAATTGTAGGGCACTTTCTGTTTCAAAAACACCTCCTCCCAAGCATGCATATAAACAACAACAACAACAACAACAACAACAAAAAAAAAAAACAGGGAAAGTGGTTGGTACTGCCAATTGCTGCCTACCTAGAAGGACTTTTCCTTTCACAGCGACTTCTCAGGATTTCCAAATTTAACTCCAGTTGCAGAAGGAATATGCCATGAGTTGGGGTTTTGTGAAATACGATAAGAACAATGATAGATACATAAGGGGAAAAGGAGTACGAACGAGTGAACTTGGTGAAAGAGGGAGAACAATTTTAACCACCCACATGCTTTAATCCTAAAAGTTGAGTGCACTCTGATTAGGGGGGTCAGGCAAAGAGGGCCAACTAGAAAGGCATGGATCTGCGCTGCGCAAAGGCACACCAAGGGCTTACCCCTTCTGTTCCTTGTTTCTGTCTCCCGCACTAGCTGGCTTTCTGTGGCTAATGCAGAGCACTGGAGCAGCCTCGGGAGAACAGCTGGAGAAAGTGCACAGAACGATAAATTAATAGGAGCTCAGTGTAGCAGCAAATTCTAGCGCACAGCGCTCAGCTGACCCGTTAAATGAGCAATCCTGTTAAGTACGTTAATCAGCACGGTATCGAAAACCCATGGGAATGCCGGGGAAGATACTTAGGGTAGGAACTGCACTCTGCACCGCTGCGGTCTAGATCCCGCAGGTTCTTTGGGTAGTAGTCTCTCTGGGCTATAGCGCTTGAGAGAGTGGTTTGGGGGATGCCTGACATCAGGGAGAGCAGGTGTTCAGAAGCATGGCTGATGAGCCTCAGGTTTAAGGAAGAGAGTGATCGCAGTTCTGGGGCTGGCTGTGAGACCATCCCCACTTCCCAGAATGTTACCTGCCTGCCCTAAGGCCTGGAGGACTGGAGAACCCTGGGAGTTCAGGGTCTTTAACACAGGAGGGACTGTAAAAGAGTTCTCTTAGGTACTGGGAAGCTTAATTATAACTAAAATTAGGTAATCCGGTAGCCTTTGTCTTTAAAAACATTAAGTTATGGCCTGCATGGAACCAAGAAGATGCATAGCCGGCTGGACTAGCTATTGTGTTCAGTGGCTGGAACTGGGGACCAGAAAAGCTGAAAAACTTTGCGTTTCTTACTTTCCACACCTGCACTGAGCTAAATGCTCGCTTCAACCCTTTATGGCAGCTTAGTCTGGGAAGGACACTAGACGGCGCTGCAGCGACACGCTTCCCTTCTCCCGGGAAAGGTAAGAGAAGCGCGTTTTTAAACCAGGGGATGGGGGACTTGGGTTGGTAGCTTCTCTCCCCCACTCTCCTCATTCGGTCTTCCCTCCTGGCGCTCCCAAATCCAAAGGGGGTGTGAAGGAGGAGGAGGAGCAGAGCGGCCCTTTGCCGTGACGTGCCAGAATGGTCCTTCTCTAATTCGCACCTCCCGGTTGCAGTCAGTCAGCCAGGAGGCACTAAACTGTTAGCAACGAAGCCCAGGCTCTGGGTGACTTCCACTACCCTCCCACTTCCTTACTCCAGGCATATTTCGGAGGCGCTGGCGACGGTGACAAGATGTGAGAGGAGCGCGGGGCTTACTCCCCGCACTCCGCTCCTTGAGGGCTGGGGCAAGTGGCTTCTGCGCACCGACCTGAGGACTACGGGAAGCGCTGAAGAGGCGCGGAAGGCAGGAGGGCGAGCGGGGGTTCATGCGGGCTGCCTGCACCGCAGCCGGGCTGAGCCGGTGGCTCCGCTGCCTTCTAGAGCTTGCGTCCCCCACGAGCGGTGGTTGCGCCACCGGCTGAGGCACCCCGCGTCCTGGCGTCCCGTGAGGCGCGCACCGTTTGGTTTGGACGAGGTGCGGCTGGAAAGAGGCTGCACCAAAGCGAAGTCGCTCCGAAGAATCTTGGAGGCGGGCACCTTCAAGAATCCGGTCTCTGAGCTGAGAGGTGGTACCTGCCATTCTAACTAAAGGGCCTAATGATCTAGGAACCCTCCTGTATCCTGTTCCCTCTCAGGTTTCCCCCAAAGTCCACGGAAGCATCACTGAACTCCAGGAAGCTTCCGAACTTCCCTGGCATCCTCGTTGGCTAAGGACTGGGAGTGGAGAGAACCTGGTGGGAGACTGTGCCCGCGGCTTGGGAGACACAGTCTTCCAAACGCCTTCTTCATCCCACTGTCATTGGGCAGCTTTACTGACCACCCTGGAAACCTGCGCTCTTCTTTCTGGACTCCGCTCTCCATCTCACCCTAGACATGGAACTACACGCCTGAGACCTGCTGGACCTTACTGGTGGTTTTGCAAGACTCGGGTAAGGCAGACTCGACTACTGGGACAGAGAGTTATTTCTTGTGGATAGGCGCTCTCGGGCATCTGGGAGGCTAAGGCCATAGACGCTCTAGTTGTCCTGCTCGAGTTTCCCCACTTGGAAACTCACCAGTTTATTTTTTTCTCTTTAAGCCTTCCTTGAAAGTTTAGGGCCAGGGGTTCCTCACCTGTAGGAACCTGCTTCATGAGGTAGGGGAGAGTCTGAGTTTGTATTCCGCTCTCCCCCCCTCCTGCAAGATCTTTGTGGTCTGTGGGTGAGTCACGATTTTGCAGCCTGAAAGGCAATTTCCCACTGGGTGCTTCCGACTTATTATTATTATTATTGTTATTATTATTGTTGTTATTATCATTATCATTATTAGCCTATGGCCAGGAGAGCAACCCACGGAGGTTGGGGTTCAGGTGGTTGCTGAGTGGAACAGGAGGGGATTCCCAATATGGGCTCCTGCTTCTGGGAATTCCGGTGCAGCACAGAACTGCTGGTGACCCAGAGCCATCTCTGTCTTTCTGCCTTACAACTTAAAGGAGTGGTCCTGTACACCTTAAGATGCTCTCTCTTCATCCTGAAAAGAAATCCTCCCCGCCCCTTTGAGCAGGGGTTTTCCTGGTTGCATGAACCTTTTGTCACTGTCGCTGGAGGGTGAGGCTGGCCTATTATCAAGTTGCCCTTCAGATCCCTTGTGAGGGGATCTCAGAAAGGGAGTTTAGAAAGAATAACCCTCAAGTGGCACATCTTGATTTGAACCTCTGAAGTGGAACAAACAGCTTGATGTTACTATCGCACATGAAAAAAGGAAGGAAGGAGGGAGAGAGGGGGAAGGAGAGAGAGAGAGAGAGAGAGAGAGAGAGAGAGAGAAGAAAGAAAGGAAAAGAAAACGCTTTGGCAGAGAGATCTGGAAAGCTGAACATCTGTTACAGTTCTCTGCTCCAGGGGTTTCTTCTGGTCCCTGCAGTTACCCCCAGCCCAGTGCAACCTAGGGACTTAGGAATAGACATTAGGAAACAAGTAGTTAAGACTCATCCTTCCCTGCAAAAGTTGCCATTGCTGTAAAATATAGAAAAAGTACATCTGAGCTGAAAGCTACACTGGAACTTACAAAAGGGGCGGCAGTGTTGGATGGAGGTCTATTTAAGACTGTCCTGCTGGTGAATAGGAAGCTGCACCTGCCCATCACCAACGGAGTAATACTGCTGCTTTTCTGGCTAGGGGAAACATGTGGTGCAAACAAGACAGACCCAAAGAAGGAAGAGAGAGGGAAGGCGTTCTTGAAAATTGACAAGTTTCTTAGACATTGCACAGGTCAGGAAGAGTACCTCAGCTACACAGTCCCTGGGAAGGAGGAGATTAAGTGTCCAGGATAGGTGTGGGGGATTGGGGACCATTTAAACCACTGAAACTCCTATATCCCCACTCAGTTGTGGTGGGCATAGACTATCCCTGACAATTTCAGGGTTTATAGCTTTTATGGTGATAATGCAATGCTACTGGGCTCTGTCTACAGGGTCACAGACACTTTGCTTTCTGCTTTCCTTCTTGTCATGTGGCTCTGAACACAATCTTCTTCCCCTGATGGAAATCAGGCAATTAGCCTGGGACCTAGGGAGCTGGAAATTCCCAGGTGTCTCAAAGTCTAGGCTTCAGATGGCATTGCCTACCATTACCCTATCCAATTTTTTCTGTTTCCTCCACCAACTCTGCAATCTGGCCACACTGCTGTCACACAGCTCAGTGGCTGGACCTGAAGCAGTGGTTACAGCTCTGTGCTGCTGGCTTACCTTATAAACTTTCAAATCTGTGGGCTGCCCTGGGCTAAACAGCCTGAAATTACCAGACTAAAAGATGATTTCAATAGAAAGCATTTAAATTTGGGCAAAAGGCTGCTGCATCAAAGACTCACCCTGGCTCACCTGCTCTAGCTCCAGCTGGCAGGGAGGGAGGGCAAGTGGCAACTAGAGTTGTCTTGGTGACATCCAGCCTTGGCTGGCTGTGCTTTTGCCCCACAGACTGAGGCCAGGCACTAGAGCATTAGGATAGGAATTTAAACAACTTTGTGAGGTAGCTGCCCTCAGGTTGAACACTGGGATATTTTCAGTTTCTGAGGGGTCTTACCACTGTTGTGTACAGAAGCTAAAGCAAATCTGGAGGTAGGGTTTGGGGGAATTGAGGTGTCTGGACACTGGCTTTTGCAGGTGTCTTGGTTTACTAAATAGTGACCTAAGCCACAGCTACTCAAATGAATGAAAGCTTCTTGTTTGCCAACAACAGGAAATAAAGGCTGTACACACGTTCATTGCTTTCAAATGTCATCTGATCTGCTGGCTACTTGGGAAACAGCCCGAGTATTCACCTGAAATACATATCCACAGGTGCAAAACCAAATGATGTTTTATTTAGCTTTAGGAAGGGATACTATGAAGGACCTGGCCATCTAAAAACAGTGAATTATAAAATGACAATTCCAGTCTTGTTTAAGACAATAAACGTTGCTTTATTTTAAATGTTGTATTGTATAATTTAGGGAAATGGCTCAGTGCAAAACATTTGCTATTTGTAAAAATATGAGGAAATCTAGGAAAGAAAAATGAGTCAAAATGTGGTTGAAATGATCATACACTTCAGTAAAAATGGAATTCTGTCTTCACATCTGTTCCTTAAAAGAAACGTGGTGTGGTGATATGAATAGATTCCATGACAATTGTAGCAGTATGAGGAATCTAAGGGGAAAATGCATTCTGTTCCTTATATCTGGGTACGTATGTAACTGTGGTAGAAAAGATCATATGAGGGTCAGTTAGAAGAATGCACACACTACCTTCTTCATTTGAGAAGTGCTGTATGCTTCTTAGTGAAAAAGGAATGTAATAAAGTAGGAATATTATTAAACACTTCACAGTTTGAGCTCTTTAGCAATAAAATGCAAAGGTAAGAAAAATCTGCACCCAGTCTTTAAGTGTGGGCTAGCAGGACTTCTCCAGTCAAGTTTCTGTTCATCATTGTTAAAACATACATTTTATGTTTCAATGAACCTGGCTTTGGCCACCTTCTTACTTCATATTTCTCCTTAAATCTCGCATCTTCAAGATGCTGTACCTTGGCTTCTTGCCTCATTTTCATTTTTTAAAATCTGATTTGTTTTATTTGAGTATCCAATAAGCATATAAAATATAAAAGTCATTTCTTGACATATATAGTATATTCAGCCTAAGAAATCAAATATACCAAAATCCACAGATGTTTATGGACCTTATATAAAATGACATAATATATTTACCTATAACTTATGTATATTCTTCTATATACTTTAAATCATCTCCAGGTTACTTATATGCAATACAGTGTCAGTATATATGTATATATATAGTTATTAAATTTTTTGGGAATAATGGCAATAATAAAGTCTATACTTGATCATTTACAGAAATATTTTTTTCTGAATGTTTTTATCCATGAATGATGACTGTCTGACAAATGCAGAACCCATGGATATAGAAGACAAAATGAACTCAAACAACAATTTGATGTTTTCTCTCAAGTAAATCTTTGTTTTGTCTGCTTCCTTTAACAATTCTGCTATTCCTTATTCTCAGGACTTGTGATCTTACTCATCTGTTACTCTTCCTGTATTCTTCATCCATTGCTGCTTCTGTAATCCTTTCTTTAATTAAATACTTTGATTTTTGTTACTGGGATTTGTTCTATGCTTTTCAGCATTACTGCTACCACTCAGTTCTTCTAGATTTTTTTTTGACAAGGCCTATTATAAATGTTTGTACTTGCTGTCTTTGGTTCACTCTCCAAAACATGTTTTTACTAATCTTCTGAGACTCATTTGGTTCTTTCCTTTACTGAGGTTTTAGCAAAATTGTTTGTCTTAGAGTTTCTAATGCAATGAATAGATACTATTACTAGAAGAGATACCATTACTATGGCAACTCTTATAAAGGAAAACATTTAATTGGGGCTGAGTTACAGTTTCATTGATGTAGTCAATTAATATCATGATAGGAAGCATGGTGGCATGCAGGCAGACATGATGCTGGAGGAGTAATTGAGTGTTCAACATCAGGATCTGAAGGTAGCAGGAAGAGAGAGAGAGAGAGAGCTCAAGCCAGCCACTGGACCTAGCTTGAGCATTTGAGACCTCAAAGTCCACCCCAGTGACTCACTACTTCTATCCGTGCCATGCCTTCTAATAGTGCCACTCTCTGTGAGCCCATGGGGGCCATTTTCTTTCAAACTACCACAAAAGTTGAAGTAATTAAATCTAATAAAATACTTATGTTTATATATACCTAGTTTATATAGTTTCCATGTGAATATTTTAAAATAAAGTCAGAATAAGGCTAGAAACTTGAACCTTAATCAATTTTAGTAACTGCACAACTTTTATAATTAAAATATTGTAACTATGTAAATGTATTGAGTAACTAATGAATGGATTATAAGCAGTACAGATTGTTATCAAGTTTGAATAATTTCTAACAAGTGTAGTTGCTAGGTACATTATATATAGATGGCCTTTTAACCATAGAAATTTATCTACCACTGTATGTATGTGCTAGCATGACCAATCATTTACTGGGGGCTCAAATTTCAGATTTGAGACACTGTACTAGGTGACATTTGTTACTAAATTAGAAAAATTGTATCATCCTTCTCATATCTGGTGATCCACATAAAGTATTGCCTCTTTTCAATTTATAGTCAGAAATTATATGCTTTATTTTATTAACTTTTTGAGATTTTATTTTTATTTTATATGTATGGGTATTTTGCCTGCATGTATATCTGTGAAAAACATACATGCAGTGCTAGAGGAGTCCAGAAAGAAGGCATCAGATATTCTGAAACTGCAGCATTAGACTATAGTGAACCACCATGTGGATGCTCGGAATTAAACCCAAGAACTCCACAAGAGCAGTCAGCATTGTTAACTACTGAGCCATCTCTCAGTTATTATGTCTTTTATAATCACTGTGGCA